GTAAAACGATTCACAAATAAAAATTAATAAAATCGAATATCAAATCTGAATAAAATACTTTCTCATAAGGTCAAGGATTTCATCAAACTAATTGATTCGCTGTTGCTTAAGCGCTTTGACTTTGATATTTAATGTTCCGACGAGAGTTCGGAAGGTAAGCAGGTATGTGACCTTCGATAAAAAGTGTCAATTATCTTAAGTTTGTGATTACATACATCGTATATTACATGTGAAAGTGCGTGTAACACGATAAACAAGAACGCATCTGTGTGATTTATAGAATGTGTGTACAGACGGGGTCATTAACAACTAATGAAAGGAATCAATTCGTGTAAAAAAATAACACATAGTTGTCTTTAAGAAAAAATATGATATGATATAATTTCAGCTACATATTTTTTCTTAAAGAACTATGTGTTTTTTTTTATACCAATTGATTCCTCTCATTATTTTGTGCATAAAAGTGTTGAGGTAAGATAATTGAAAAATGAATATTTAACGAGATATTTCATAGTTTATGTAAAATTATGTCAAATTAAATTAATATAATATCTCGTAAATTATTCTAATTATTGATCATCCTACCTTTATAACTTTTTACGATGAAAATTGCAAGAAATTGATTTATATAAAAAAATTAGATTGGTTCCATTTAAAAAAATGAAGATAACCTTCAAATCTCCGAAGCACCTCCACTCAAGGTCAAACTAATTATCCCTATCCTTTTCCCCCTCTAAGTCCTACAACTTTTGTTTGAAACATTTTTCGATTTAACACGGTGTTTTTTAAATATTTGAGCGGATCATTTAAAATAGGACACCCTGTATATATGTGTATAATAAAGTATATACATATATAAGGTTGGCCTACATAAAGTGTGACAAGCCAATAACTCTAAAAATATTTGTCGAATCAAAAAATTGTTCATGAGAAAGTTTCATGTATTCGAGGGACCTTTTTCTAATTACGTAAGCATAAAGTCGCCCTCGCTCTCCCTTGAAGAGGGGCGGAGAGTAACTTTATAATTTCAAATGGAACTTTCTATAAAATGTTACATATTTGTATTCTTCGGAAAAAACAAATAAATTTTATCTGGAACATTTGTTTGAAAAATACTTCTATGAAAAGTTATAAACATTTGAACTTCAAAGTTGAATGCATTCAAATTAATGATAAAACCATAAATTGAATAAAAGGCTTTGTTTTTCTGTTTTTTTACTTTATTAAATGTTCAAACTATTGACCATTCTCATCTAAACACACACTTATTAATTCTTTTTACAAAATTTTGTCTAACTCTAAACAATATTTCTGGGGTCACACTAGCGCAAGCTTCACGTATTCTTCGTTTTAAGTCTTCTTTCGTCGTAAATAATTGAAACATGATTTTCTCTTTGATATATCTCCATAAAAAATAGTCCAAAGGTGTGAGATCAGGTGAACGAGGAGATCCTTGAACAGGACCTTCCCGACCTATCCACCTGTCAAATATTTTTTAAAAGAGTACGCGTAGCTCTGGAAAAATAAGAAGGTGCACCATCTTGTTAAAACCACATTTCTCTTCTCACATTAAGTGGTACTTTTTCCAGAAGTAGAGGAAGATGATTGCTCAATAGATTACAATAAGATTCAGTATTAACAGTACCATCGAAAAAGTATGGTCCAATTACAAAATTGCCAGTTATTCCACACCATGCATTTAATGAACAACGATATTGGAAAGAAACTACGCATCCAATGAGGATTCTCATTTGACCAATAATGCATGTTATGTCTATTAAGATGCCCACTGTTAGTAAATTGTGCTTCATTAAAAAAAAGAATGTTTTGCAAAAATAAACCATTTTTACCATTTTTACCATCACGCATCCACTCGTAAAATATTATACGACGCTCATAATCAGCTTCCAAAAGTTCTTGAGTCAAAATAAAATAATACGAATGAAAATTTTGTTCTTTCAGAATCCACTGTATTGAAGATCGTGTAACTCTAGCTGTTTTTGCTAATTCACGTTAACTGACATGTGGATTTTCTTCAATTGACGCGAAAATGTTGACACTGTTATCATAATTAATCACTGGTTTTGCTTTTTGTCTTTTAATTGCACTTAATTGATCATGCACACGTAAACGATTTTCTAGACGAACAAATGCCATATACAATTTTTGAATACCATAACGTTCTAAAAACAGTTGCGTAACACGTCGATAATTTTTCTCACATTCTCCCTGAATTAGCAACATATCAACTTCCACGTCAAATCAAGCCATGCTTTTCGAAATTGATAGCATGAAAACCAGCATAATATATGTATATGATATATATAATCATAATTCCGTATACATTTCCGTATACATTTTATTTCGAAATAAACCTAAAAATTATTTAAAAGAGTTAAGATATCCTGAACAAATAGAAAATTATCGTAGCAACTGGCAATGAATGTGTTCGTCGAAAGGGTATACATCCAGACAGTACAAATGTCTTTTAGATATCTTAAAGACATTTGTGTCTGAATACATATGTATATAGCGATATACGGACATGTGGAAGCGCATTACTAGACAATACGCAATATATGCTCCAGTAGGGCGCAAAATTTTATTAAAAGGGCGCGATAATTCTTGAAACATCCAAGACATGTAAAAATAGACTGCTTGGTCTGCGATGAACTGTCCCTATCTGACTGAATGCTGCCTGCTTGTAAAATTCCGTTTAATCGCGGTTTAAAAAATATAACCTTTTTTTACAGCTTTGCGCTGACGAGTGCGAGTCACAGCGTAGGAGCGCCTAAGATATTAATAACTCCGGACACATGTTTAACTTTCCTTGTTCTAGTTAATTATTTATATAACGCATTTTATATTTGTGCAATATCACACCCTTTGATAAAATCAAGAAATGTGCTTCACGATTTAACAATAAAATAAATATGTGCTATTGTACCTTCACTCATAAGCCATCACTCACATATCAGGAAATTGTATTAGCTCATCCAAATTATTTTTACACTATCTATTGCAGATATAAACAAAAAATTAAACATAATACAAATAGCCTGTTTACTCTCCAGCCCAGTATACCCATGCGTATCACATTTTATGCGATTACACGATTAATCGGGTAAATAAATCACGATGTCAAGTAATTCTGATCGCTCGGAAACTGACATCATAGATTTCAACATCGGGTTCGCACTTGTACTATCTAGACATCCGGCTCCATTTTAAGTTCAATTGCCACATTATACGTATAACAATAGAAACTGTGTCGATCATCCGCTGTCACAGAAAGACCAGTAATAAGAAAACTCAAAAATTATGCAAGCTCGCGATTCTTGGCAAAAAGCCAAGCAGTACATCAAGAATTAAAATTCAATAAATGTAATAAAACTCGAAAATATCGTTTTCGAGATACATATAATTTATAATTAGAGAAATGGGTTATACTATTGACATTATATTCAATGAGTCTTTAATCAATGCAGAATTTATGCACCTATGATGCAACTGAACCATGCAACTTCATGTTGTTTACCGTTAGTTATTGCGTGTTAGTGCGTGTCTGAAATCATTTATTCTGATTTCATCAACAAAATATTTATATGTCACTGCGTTGTAAGTTTATCGGAACTTCAATCGATTCTTTTTAATACTGGACAATATCTTTAAAAAAATTGCTAAAACTAAATAATAAAATAAAATTCAACTAAATAAATTTAGCTATACAACTAAATAGGAAAAAAATAGCGTTATAGTATTCACAAATTCTTAACATCTAACACAAGGACGTCGGTATCATTTATTAATTGTTAAAAAGCTACTGCTTATTTAGCTTTTAGAATATATACATATAAAAAATAATATTACAACAAAATTGATTGTAATTACTTATAAATATACTTATAAGTATACTTTAGTATATACACATATACTAAATAATTTATTGTTGTAAAAAATTTTTTGGATCTCTATTGTGATTGCATGTCGACATAATTAAGATCAGTCTTCCTACAAATAGTGGTATATCATTATATAGCTTTTGACAGTATCATTAGATAGATAAAATTATTGATTTTTTTCAAATTATTGCCAAAGAACATCAATGGCCGACTAACTATTAATAAACATTTAAAAATATTCATCGTGTCGTTTATGTTTTTTCTAAATTTATATTATGTATAATTTCGGTTCAATGACATATAGTCTGGGGATTTTCTCAAAGAATATCCGGAATCAGGATCCGTACATTGACCTGCATAACTTATCACGACTTGTGAGATTATTCAGTATAAATCAATGACCTCATATATTCTTACTTCGCTCAATTTTGTTGAGTTGCCTCATTATTTCGTCCACGGCATATAATTATTTGCTGTTCAACTTATCAAAATTTGTTGAAATAAAACCATATGTAGAAGAGAGAGTTGGGAAAGGGAAAGGGGGAAAGGGAGAGAAAAACCTTGAAAAATCAATCTAATCTACGATTAATCTACTTTGCGAGCGAATTGCGAGATAAATTGATTTATATTTCAGATATATCAGCGTTTCTTATATAACATTCATTATAATTATATTAAACGATTCGTGCGTCCGATCTTATTCAAAAATTTTACTTCTGTTTAATAAATAAATTATAATTTTACTTTTGTTTAATAATAATTTATTATTATAGTATATTGTAATTTGCAAACGAACACGTATTTCAATGTTTTTTTTCACATTATCATATCAATGTCAGACGAACGAAAGGTTTACGTCGAATTTCTCATTCATGTTTACACACAAGGCACGTAACCAATTTCATGCGATTTACGTCTCCAACTATGTACTAATTCCAGAAAAGAACAAGATATATGTATATAAAAGACCTTTTTTTTGTGACTTTTCTTTGGATAAGTAAACATGTTTTACTGTAAGATAGTGTAGCTCCTTTAATAATGCTAATATTTAAGATTTTCAATATTAAAAGTATTGAAGAGATTTTTTGCTCTTTTTAGAGGACTTTCCTGCAGAAATCAATCTTGAGGCACGCAGATTATTCCAAATCCTTCCCACTTACGATCCTGGCGCAGGAAGTGTCAGCGCCGAATGCAAACGGCACTCCGACATCTTTCGCGAGGAGCTCGCCAAGTTCACCCTATGGGCTCTCAAAAGTAAGTCGATCATTTATCAAGGTATGTAGCATAGTTACGAAATTTTTATTTTATTTAAAATATAATTCAAAAAATTCTTCCTCGAAATTGCAAGTCCAAAAAATTATCTATGACCGATGAATAAATTTGTCATAATCTTTTGCAACTAACTCGCATGATTGTATAAAATGTCTTGTCGGTGAAATTAAGCCGCGCACTATTCCGTACGCGATGTGAGGGATTTGGCAATGGTTACCTCAGGATATTGGTCGTCACCAGATTTCTCTTTATTCGAATTTACCTTCTGGCACATTGATTCACAATACTTTATATAATGGCATTAATAGCTAAACGTGAATATTTAATTACAAGATAGTAGTTTTAGCTTATTGTCAATTTGTCGCGGCAATTTTACAATTCTGTATACTAAAAAAAAATTGAAAATTGAAAAATTCTCATTCAAAAATAAATATGCAAAATGATTAGCATCTTTAATGATCGAAAATTAATCACATTCCACAGTCTTCGTAGAATCAGTAAAAGAGTAATTCAATAGTTGACAAAAAGATAATTTTCATGGTCAGAGATTTTAGATTCTCCTTTCTATTTTCGCAATACTGATTGCTTTTATGGTATTTTAGTGTACGATGCAACCGCGAAGGTGCCTTCCGGCCTATTGAGCGGGAATGTTAATCAATTTGGCGATTTCGACGAATGCGTCGGTGTCGAGGGCAAGGATGGTATTCAAGGGCAATATTGTCTGGCGTATTTACAATTGGTTGTCGACCAGTCCAGACCGGATCTGAAATACTTACATCGTCTGCTACATTCGCACTATGCATTCCGCAGCAATATATCCGACGTGAGTGTAATGTGCATTTTTGTGCTGCGCTACGTGAATCAACGTAATCGATTGTTTTGCAATCACCCGGGTTTTATCGTTCGGGTTATATCTCACGTTCACGACCGATACGAAACGAACGATCACTTTGATACTACACGAAAAAATTGTATTCTCATTTTAAGAATATTTCACTTATATTTATAATATCTTCCTCTAAAAATAAGCGCCAAGAAGATCCTCTTAGTTTAAGAGAAAAATCCTCTAAAGAATATCAGATATTCTTAACGTGTAAAAATATATGCTAAATGAAATATTCTCTTACCATTATATTATTTGGAATCGTTAACTATGATAACAAAAAAAGTTTTACAAGTGGATATTTGTTATTTATTTTAAAACTTTAAGAAAGTTATATTTTTTGAGAAAATACATCTTTTTGTACTTATTTATTAAGAATACAAAAAATTGTATTCTTAAAATACATACTTAATAACCCCTCTTAATTCTTAATGAATAAAGATATTTCCTTCTTTACGTGATATTTTTGGAATATTCTTCTTAATTTTTGAAATATCTTCTTAGATTAAGAATACATTCTAACATTTCCGCATGAGTAATCATGTGCAACGTACAATGCATTAAGAATATTTGATATTCTTTAAAGGATTTTTCTCTTAAACTAACAATAAGAGAATCTTCTTGGCGCTTATTTAGAAGAAGATATTATAAATATAAATGAAATATTCTTAAGATAAGAATACAATTTTTTCGGTGTATCTATTAAGAGAGCTTATTAAAGATATATTTCCAGAAAACAATTTTTTCGGTGTAGAATATCAAAGCTCTAAATATGAGCCACCTAAATTATTTGCTATTACGACGTAAACTTAATTTTAATACAAAACTACGATAACATGAGCAATTCAAAAACGTAATTATTTTGATATTATATGAAAATATTTTACAAAAATACGTTTTTATTTTAATCAAATCACATTAGACCATAAAATTTATTAATGTAGTCATTTGTGTATAAAGTCATTTGAAAGAATTACAGAATCATAAAGTCTAAACTCTTTTGCGTGAACATATTTCAGTATCAGTATTTCCCTGAGTCTAACGTTTGTGGCATTTTAATGACTCGACGAATCATCATCAGCGAGTACGTTTAATCCGTAATGAATATGTAATAAACGCATACATTCTCGCCGCAGGATTTATGTAAATCGAAGGACAGCGAACGGATGTCGACGAATGAGACATTCATTTGGCGAGTAATCACATTCAAGACGAAACATTGAATGAATTTTAACAAGAGACTAAAAACACGTAAAAAAACAGTTATATTCGCACAAATTTTTATCTAGAAACTTGAATTGAAATGTTAATTTTTATCTGGCAATATATTGAATATGTATTATTTAAATGTCAGTGATATGTATAACATTATGTGATATATTCATTTATTTAATTTAAATACATAAAAAATTGATTTTGACTTCTAAATAAGGGATTAATAAAAGAAGTTTAATTAAATTATATGTATATTACAGCCTCGTGAAATTTAAAATATAATATAAAGTAAGGATCCAAAGCCAAGCTGGTTGTCATTTGCTTATAATCTTCTTTATTGTTTTGAATTTAGTAATTTGCAAATGTTTCGGTTAATCTTTTAGCCATCTTCATTGTACATTGATAATCCAATTATTAATTAATTGTACTAAAATATATATTACAAATTCAATCTTTCATATATCATTGTCTAACCGTAGACAATCCAACTAGACACACTAACAACATGCGATAAGTGGTTTCCGCCATCTCAGAAGTACGTTCAGATAAACAATTGTAATTTGCAACAAATAAAACTGTTGGTATTAATTTTAGCGATTGACCTTTAATTAAAACGATTGACAAAAATAACAATGTAATTGAGCATGATTTAACAATATTTAAGGTATGTTTTAAACAAATAGTTTTACGGTTAGACAATGATATATAAAAGATTCAATTTATAATATATATTTTAGTACAATTCATGTAATAAATTTCAATAAACATTAGGACATTCTATGTACGTCCTACGTATATACATATATGGATATTGTATATTCTATGTATATACAGAGAATGTGAAAAGTATGTACAGCGCATATCCCATGTATGTAAAATAATTACTACATGTATGTACACAGGATGTCCATAGTACATACATAGGTATATTCCAAAGATATGCAATGTACATTCGTGGTATACAGAGTGATTCAAAATAACCGTATGTCCTTAAAGGGACATATTCCTGAGCGTATTCTGAGACAACTTTTCCTTTGGCAAAAGTTTGCGCGGAACTTAATTTTCAAGTTATAAAAGAAAATAGCGTATCGTGAGTACAAGAAACAAGCAGGGGTGCCACAACTCACCGTTACACGCGAGTGTTTATGTGAGGCGCCTGCTACAATCAGCTGACACTCACGATACACGTGTTTCTTTTTCCGAGTAATTTTCACGCGCCGAGTGATTAGTAGTGATCATTAAATAAATTCCTTGTTTTATAGATGAAGTAAGTGAACAAAGTATATAAATGTGTTGTGTTTTGAAACGTGAAACGTGAACAATAAGAAAGTGGAAAAACTTTCACTCGATATGGATCTGTCTCATCGCGAGACGGGGAGAGAGGGGGGGGGGGTAGGAAAGAGAGAGAGAGAGATGCGTATACGTATTTGTGTATCGTGAGTGTCAGCTGATTGTAGCAGCGCCTCACGTAAACACCCGCGTGTAACGGTGAGTTGCGGCGCCCCTGCTTGTTTCTTGTACTCGACTCACGATACACTAACTATTTTCTTTTATAACTTGAAAATTAAGCTCCGCACAAACTTTTGCCAAAGGAAAAGTTGTCTCAAAATACGCTCAGGAATATGTCCTTTTAAGGACATACGGTTATTTTAAATCTGTATACATGGGGTATACTGCAAGAATGTGCAATACACATTCGTAGCATGTACATAAGGTATATTCTATGTATATTTACGCTGTGATCCCGTTTGAATGTACAAGTCATGTATATCCATACGATGTCCTACGAATATCCTTAAATATACGTAAATTTATGTATATTCTATGTATGTACATAGTATATACAGTACATTTTATTCACATTATAGATATTCCATGTATATGCATAGGATATCGAATGTTTACTGGGTATATGACAAAAACACTTGGCCCAATGTAATTAATTAAATAATGAAATAATTTTAAATTTAAATAATTTATTTCATAACATTAAAAATTTTATGGAAAGTAGACTCTACACTGGACTCTACTCTTAAGTCAATAATAAACAATTTTTATTTATTCAGATATTTATCTACCCAATTTCTGAACAATTAGTTTATCTAAATTGCCTGTGTTGAGATTCAGATATTAAACTGATAAAAAAAGTTATTACATTTTTAATATTATTAGCCGCTTTTTGCAAGTTTTATATAATTCTCATGATTAAAATTTAAATACAAAATAGATAGCGCATAATGCGTCACATAGCGGCAAGCGAATGAACTAATGACTGAATACTGTTTTTGTAATGTTTTTGGAATTTGTTGTAACATTTCTGTGACATTTTATGTCATATTATGATGATATCACCACAACTGTAACTAATGATATCACTGTAACTTTCTGATAATGTCAGTGACATCACAATATCTATAAATATATATATATATATATATACGAATATCCACAAATGTATCTATGTACATCAAGGTATATCGTATGTATATACGTTTGATGTATATACATGGAATGTACGTGAGGTATATTCTATGTATATACAGGCAGCGTTCTCGTTCGAATATACATTCTATGTATATCCATACGATGTCCTACGTATATCTCTAAATACACGTAAATTTATGTATATTCTATGTATGTACATAGTATATACACTACGTTTTTTTTCACATTATGGATATTCCATGTATATACATAGAATATCGAATGTTTATTGGGAATTGCACTATCAATGTACTGAAGATGGCTAATTTTTTAGGCAAAGCCACTAAAATTAGAAATATTTGCAAATCTAAATTGTACTAAAATTGTACTAAAATTAGAAATGTTTGCAAATCACTAAATTCAAAAGAATAAAGAAGATTATAAGCAAATGACAACCAGCTTGGTTTTGGATCCTCATTTTGTATCATATTTTTAAAAAATTTTATCTCTTTAAAACAATTAATTGATATCTTAAAGAAAAAATTTTTTACTTTTTAATTTGAGCATAACACAATCAAAGTAATAAATATAACAATAAAATATTTATTCCTCGAGTTGTAAAATGTGGTTTTGGCAAACAAAAGCTTTCCCATACAGCACAAAACATTGCATTTACATTGCAGCAATGTTACAATCTTGCAAGTTACAATGTAATATTATTGAGAGATTATTGGAACATTGAATTGTAATATTTCATGAGAATGTGACAGCAACATTGCAAAAACATTACAAGAGCAATATTCGATAATCGCTACCCAGGGAGAAATACAGGTCGAAGAAACGTCTAATAGACATCTAATAGACGTTTCTTCGGCCTGTATTTCTCTCTGGATAGTTCGTTCGTTTACCGCTATGCGACGCGCGTTGCAAAATCTATCTCGTATTTAAGGCTCCTGGGTAGTCACCGCAGCCATATTAGATTCGTGACGTCAGAAGCGAGAAATGACACGCCGAGAATTCTTGCGTGCCATTTCTAAATAAAATGATAATTTAACAAAGTAACACTCTAGATCGCTTTAAGACACCTGTAAAATTGTCCGAAAACTATGCTTTTTCCTTGACAGGTTATAAACAATCGTTAAATCAACCGTGAAGCGAAGCCTAATTATGCGAGAAAACACGGTTGACAGCTGTCTGTATGAGTAGAAAATACTCCTTCTACGTTGGGCTTTCTCTGCTAATCTTAGTTTTCGGATAATTTTACAGGTTTCATGAACACGTCACATATCACAGCACTAACATTTAACGAATATTAACGAAATGGCACGCAAGAATAAATTGGGTAGTCAACATGTCATTTTTTCACGTCTAATAGTTCATCGATTCTCCACCTAAGACGCTGCATGAGAATTTCTGTCATATGGACATGTCGGTAACGGTACTAAGCTATATATATTCTGTATTTATCGCGTTTATTTTTTGTAAACAAATTTTTGAATTATTAAATTAGCATTTTGTATGTTATTCAGTAATTTACTTTTATCGTATCAATTGATTAGGTCAAACTGTTACACTATTTACTTATACAATAAATCGACTAGGTAAATTCGACTAGGTTTTTATTCCTACCACAATTATGTCGCCACTGTCAACGCGGAGTTCACGGCTACGGGACCAGGAGCCTTAAGTTTTAGTCATGATGATATAAAACTTTCAAAGAGTGGCTAGTGTAAGATTAAAGACATAGTAACTATTTTTATCAGTTAAATTTTTCTGATACGATCCTAACACAGGGAATTCAGATATTGAACTGATTGTTCAGAAATCGGACAGATAAATGTCCGAATAAATAAAAATATATACAACATTATTCTAAAATTGCAATAACAATGCATTATTGCAAATTCATTACATTGCAATATTACTGTAATATTTAGTTACAATTTTCCTAAAGGCGGACATTTTAACGTTGCTGCAATGCCACAGCAATGATGCAACAACATTTTGCAGTAAATTTGCAATATTGCAACATTGCGATGAAAGATTGATGCAATGTGTATGCAATCTTTGTGTGCTGTATGGGTTATAATGTTATTTATACATAGCGATGTACATGCATAACCCACACGGAACAAAAACCTCTAATGGATATCCACTAGATGTTTATTATGGAGATTCGAAACCTCTATTAGATATCCTTGTAATCTCCTATAGATGTCTACTAGACATCCACAGTTCCACATTACATACCTCCATTCGACATCCATTAAATATATTCATAGATATCATATGGAGCAATCATAGATGTTCCATAGATATTTCATAGAGCTTTGATGGATTGTAGTTGCAATTTGTCATTAATAAAATTATTTTGGAAGTAAAGTCACAAATATGATTGCGAGATAGTCTTGTTTATGTAGGTGTTAACAGAATGTCACGACTGTTCTCGACAGTCGAGAACTGTGAGACAGTCGAGAACATGGTGACATTCTGTTAACACCTACATAAACAAGACTATCTCGCAATCACATTTGTGACTTTACTTTCAAATAATTTTATTAATGACGAATTGAAACCACAATCTTTCTACTAAACAGATTTGTAACGTTAGCACTGAAGATGGCTGAATGATCAGCCGACACATTTGACATCGACGATGCCCTAACAATATTCGTTACTATGGATACTGATACTTCTATCAAACATCGATAACAGATATCTAATAGACATCTATGATGGATTTATAGACGTCATTTATCATGGAGATAATATGGATTTCTAATAGAAATCTATCTAATATCTATTGTAGAGATAGATGTAGTATGGAGTTATGGAGATTATATGGACGTCCACTGGATGTCATGTTCTGTGTGAGAAGTGATCTTTTAATTACTTAATAAATGTGAATCAAACGCAAACATATATTAATTCATCACATAAACTGTAGAAAACATTTATTTTGGTTTGATAATTAGACTCACGATAATAATATTGTAATATTGTATAACATTGTAATTGGTCAAACGTTTAGTTATAACGTTGTACCTATATTGCATATCAATTTAATGCTAATGTTTATTACTTGGAATTGATAGTGTTGTTATTCGAAGTCGAACGTATAATTTATTGTTGCTTAATTAAACAAGCATATCAATTATTGTTCGAATGAAATTACTCTGTCTTTATGAGAGTCTCGTAAAAATGTGATTTATGAAGTGTTTCCGTTCTTTATTAATTTCTATCATAATCGTACGTTTTAATAAACTTCCGCATCGCGTATACATTGTTTGAAGCGCCTGTGTGGATGCATAATATTCTCGTTGCTGTCAATTATGAAATTATAGAGACTTTTTCTCTCTTTAACCGGATAATTTGCTAATTATACGTAATCAAGATAATAAGCATCGAGTTTTTCACTGTTTCTTCAATGTTTTTCAAATTTTTAGTTTTTACATATTTTTCAATGTGTTATAAATATTTATTAAATTAAACAAATAACTAATGGTATTATAATTTTGTTACGAACACACACAAAAGCGTATGCATAAAACCGTGTAAAATGATTTTAGATTGCGCAACGGAAACAATTTTGCACTACGGTAAAAAATATTATGTTAATATCCAAGGATGTAATATTTTAGCTTTGATTGCGACATTTATGAGATTCTCATTGCCAGTTAATTAATTTTTTTTTTTTTTTCCCAACGTATAATTCAAGGTTTATCTACAATTATTGTTGCACAAATATTTTTACTAGTATCTAGCCGTAGCTTACAATAATTTTTCACTGTTCGATTGTAATACAAACTTACTTAGAGTAAGATTTAAACTCGCTTATTTTTGTTTTCAGCCCGGTCACAGAGTACCACGTTTTAGCACCGTAAATTGGGCTGTATGCACACCTGCATCATGTACAGCGCAAGATGTGAAAAACTCTCTTCAACACGCAATCTCAAAGTACACGAATCAAACTGGTCTCAAAATTACGTTACAAGTAGACCAAGACATGTGCCAAGTGAAAAGGGAACTCGTTCTATCAAAAGCGACTATCGCCACTAGGTAAAACATTTATTGTCATGAATTTGTCATACTCTTACGTGAAGCTTATCATGCCTAGCGCTTGCATTGATATACATTTTATAAAAAATGGACGTATTAAGATTGTTAAGAAATTTATTCTAGAGTATGCAAAAAATAAATTTCTGTGTATCCTTCTCAATGCTCATTGTTTTTTGACGGAATAAAATATCACAGATTTTCAGTTAAGCTCCTAAAGATAAAAAATATAAGAAATTTGTACTTGTTGATCTTATCTGCATTAATCGGATGAATCATTTTCTTTTATTTTCCAGCTTTCTCTTTGTCACTGTATTCGTTTTAACTCTGGTGGGCGCGTACTATGATCATTACAAAATACCGGCTAGCGAATTGCTGTTATCATTCTCTTTGAAACGCAACATTCAGAAACTTTTCTCGCTGGAAAGACCGCAAGGCGACATAGCGTCACTCCATGGTATTCGATTTTTAAACAGTGTTTTATTGGTCATAGCTCACAAAAGTTTGGCGGTATTTTTCATTCCTTACATGAACCGGACTTACATGAGCGAGGTATGTTGTTAAAAATCATCAATATTTAAAAATAAACTTATAAATAAATAGATATTATATGTATATTTTTTACATTATATATGCATATTTCATACAAATTAAGAACCTCAACAATTTAAACAAAAAATACATAAATATACATATACCCAGTTAGCAAAATGCTAGCAGTATGCCAGCGGTATCTTAGATAGCAAAATCAGACAGAGCACATTTTGCAATTTATGTCCTGCATATTACATCGACAAAATACTATCAATATTTTAGCAGGATATGCCATTTCAGCTAATGTCGACAGAAACACAGCAAAAATCGAGCACAACGTGCATCATGATGTAACAGCAGAAATGCTACAAAAATTGAGCAGAGATCACCAGCGTAAATATAATAAATTTCAAACATTGTATGCTGACACAATGTGTCGACAGAGATTGCACATAGTCTGGCTGTCACAATGTCGTCAGAAATCAAATCTGCTCAATTTTTGTCGCATTTTTGCACTTACATCGTAATGCATTGTGCTCGAGTTTTACTACATTTCTATCGACATTAGTTGAAATGGCATATCCTACTAGAATATTGATAGTATTTTGCTGACATAGTATGCAGCACATAAATTGCAAAACATGCTCTATCCGATTTTGTTATCTGGGTATGAAATATATTAGTTTACAAATAAGATTTAATTAAAGAATTATAATATTGTTATAAGAGAATAAATATATTTGATATGTTATATAATAAATGATCTTAAGATGTAATAGAATAATATTTGATGAAAGTTATATTGATTTTGTAAATTTATCTAGAATTTCGTGAAATTTTGTTACAGTAAATTATTTCATTTTGTGAGATTTTGTTACGTAAATTATTTTATTTTGAAACTGAGTGACATTCTCGGCGCAGTTTTTAGGTAAACCATGGACTGTCATAGGAAGAGCGGCTAGTCTTTATACTGATCCATTCATTATGTTGTCCGGTCTATTAACGACGTATTCATTCGTAGGCAAGTTGAGAAAAAACGGAACTTTAGGTATCAAACACGAATACTTGTCGCGCTTGCTAAGGTATTGATATCAAAATATGTGTTCTCATCCAATAAATAAAAAGAATGATCCTTTTATTATGCACTATATTTGTGTTCAGACTAGTACCGACTCTAGGCGCACTAGTATTGTTTTGTACTTACATTATGCCGTACATCGGATCTGGACCACAGTGGCCGCTGGTAGTGACCAATCACGCAAACATATGCAAAAAGACATGGTGGCGAAATTTCTTATTTATTCATAATTATTTTGGATTCGAAAATATGGTAAGTATCGCGTAAAACATATTGAAAATAATTACAAGAAATAAAAACTTTTTTTAAAATACGCAACTAACAAGACTTATAAAAACATCTAATCATTTAACGTTCTGTTTAAACTAATTCTAGAATATCTAAAGATTAAGACTTGAAAGTTTTTAAAAAGTTAACAGTCTTTGAAAATATGTTTGCAACATCGTAGCAATGTCTTTTTTTTCTAATGTTCTGTCTATGCCAAGAAATAAATTATCTTTCTTATTTGCAGTGCCTTACGCACACACATCATGTGGGAATAGACACGCAATTGTTTGCAATTTCACCCCTGATGGTATTGCTCTTATATAAAAGACCAAAAATCGGTACTATTGTACTCTGTATAATAGCTTTGATATCAACAATACTGAGATTTTACGTCACGTATAGCAAAAATCTCAATAATTATATATATTATGGCACATCGTAAGTGAATCATGCAATATATTACATGAAGAATATATCTTTCAAAACAAACTATTTACATATTCTTTTTATTTTCGCAGAATAAGACAATTATTTGATACTGCTGATTTCTCCTACACATTACCATCTCACCGATTGACTGTTTATATTATTGGTATTTTCACGGGTTACATACTTCGGAATATACCTAAAAATTTTAAATTAACCACAGTAAGTGACATTGCGCATTACATATGACCACATATGGTACGTCTAACAAATACAGTAATTTTATATAATTTTAGACAGCTCTATATACAGGTTGGACTGTATGCACTATAATGTTCCTGACGGCTTTCATCGGACCTTCTAAAATGGGATCTCTCGATTACGTATATAATCCGATCCATGCAGCCATTTATAACGCGTTTGCTCCTATCGGATGGTGTGGCTTGTTTCTATGGATAGCTATAATGCAGCATACTGGCAATTCAAATGGTAATCATTAAAAAAATACTTATATTAATAAAATTGTAAAATTAACAGCATACAGACAGTGATTATTTGAATAATACGTGTATTAACAAATTGCAGGATGGTTAACTAAATTATTTTCTTGGCGAGGATTTCTTGTTACTACAAGGATTAGTTATGGCGTCTATTTAACGCAGTTTCCAATATATTTCTTCAATGTTGGACAAACTCGGACTGCGGAATATTATGAATTTTTCAACGTAATGGTAAGTTTCGCAATTAATAGAAAATGTAACATTTTGTGTAATATATTAGATATTCTTTTATTCATTTAATTATAAAATTATTTTATTAAATGCGACATTAATTATAATTATTCAATACATTTCTAATTTGTTTCAGGTAAATCTAAAAGAAATTATATGTATTTTTTTAACATCCATAATTCTTACGTTGCTGTTCGACACACCATTCCAAAATTTAAAAAATTATTTATTATTGAAAAAAGCAATGTCGACAAAAGATACAATTAAGATATCTAAAATGGAATAAAATATATTTTAATTATATGATTCTGACCAAATATTTTAATTTGATTACAATAATCTGAAAAAACTTTGTATATACCATTTTTATTAAATTTTTAATTTAAAGTATAATTTAAAAAATTTATAAATATAAGACAAAATATAATAGGGTATAAATTATCAAGGGAAAGGAATTGTTGCGAGATAAATTGCCATTTTGTAAAAATCAATTATCATTATTTAGTCTTTATTTCTAGAAAAAGTAATTAATGAAAGGCACATACACACAAGATATTCTAAAGAGTCTTTTCACTCTCTTGAAAATACGCATGCTGTGTTATGAAGAACACATTTACATAAACTTTTCTATTTCTGAATATAATTATATAAATAATTGTAAATATTAGTTTTTCATTAATTGTTTCGCGTATAATTAACTAAAATTTACTTAATATGTTTACTTCCTGTATTCAAATAATTTAATGTCATATAATTTGTAATTTGTATGCATGTATGTATACCCACCCTGACAGGGTTTTTGTTAGGTTACAGGAAGGTTTTTGTTAGGTTACAGGAATGTCTCAATGTCTCATATTCATAGCATCTCATTTGGAATGTTCCTGCAACCTATTTTATTGAAACATTGCAATTGTTAGGGTTCTGCAACCTAATTTATTGAATGATTGCAAATAAAAGGTTCCTGCAACCTACTTTTGAAATGTAAATGCGTCGTTCGTTGCGCATGTGCATTAGCTTGCGCATTCAGTCTTGTGCCTCGTGCTTTGTGGTCTTCTACTGCATATAGGGTGGTATTCATAGTCCGTTATTATATTTAAGATTGTCTTAAGTACCCTGATAGCACAAAAGGTTTCAGTTACGTTGCAGAGATATTACAAGTGTCTCAATTGTATATCATTACATTTGTTATATTTCTGAGACATTCATTATTGAAACATTACATTTGAAATGTTTCTGCAATGTACTGGATGGAAACTTTACAATTGAAATGTCTCTTCAATGTAATATTTTGCAACATTACGAAATTAAAGATTTCGAAAGGTTTCTGAGACTTCTCAGAGTGCAATTATTTGTGTATCCTAGCTACGACGATTATTTATTAAAAAATTGATAATCGCGATAAATACGCGATCGCGCTCACGGTATGCATTATCCCATCCACATGCTATCGCATGCTACCGGATTATTATCAGTGTTATTATCAATGATATTACTGGAGCAAATATTTTTTAACATTTAGTGCACGAAAAACAAGAAGATAAGTTGTCAAACAAAAAGGTATGTTTAAACACTTTAATATATTATATTTCCTTCCTCGTGTATAAGAAAATTGTTTTAAAATTGTTTAAAAGCAAGCATTATAATGTGTCTTGTATATATTAATTATTGCAGATATAATCGTTTTCATATATTCGTTTGCCACTGCATATTGAATTACATTTATGTTAATCCATTAGTAAGTACATATTTATTTTATAATGGATAATAAAAGAAAAATATTTTCTTCTTATTCGAAACGTCATATTCGACGACTAATTAAGAAAAAAATACGGCTATCGATATAAATAATATATTGCACTCTATACTGAGATGTTCTCACCACCTATCTTCTGGTAACAAGCATTTAAAAGCAGATAATGTTCGTCAAAATCAAATTGATAGTACCGACATAGGCAATTCGAATATTGTTGCAAATGATGACAATGTTGACAATTTGTGCAATATTGATAAAGAGTCAAATGATCTTAGTAATATAGAGTCACCTAATGATGCTAATAATAAGATAATGATGTTAATGAAGAGAATAAATCACTAACAGAAAGTAATACTGGCGGAGTCGATTCTGTAAATGAATCTGCGAATGAAATGGATAATGCAAATGCTAAAAATTACAGTGATTTCAAGAATGATCTGTATCGTTGGTATGCAAGATATCGAGTATCGCATAAGACTCTTTCAGAACTATTAGTTGTTTTACGGAAACATACAAGTCATCCATTTCCAAAAGATCCTCGCACTCCAAGAAATGTCGAATGTATTCCTGCAGAAATGAAGTATTATCATTTTGGTTTTGAGAAAGCTCTTAAGAAGATGCTACACGAACATGTGCAACTTGTAGGCTCAACAAAAGTTCTTAGGGTTTTTATAAATATTAATGGCCTTCCAATTACAAAATCTAGTAAAACTTCTTTGTGGCCTATATTATGTAGTGATTCGGAAACAAAATTGGTGTACATTGTAGGAGCATATTATGGCGAAGCAAAACCTGACAGTAACAATATATTTTTGCAAAAGTTTGTTGACGAGGCGACATTTTTAACAAACAATCCATTAAATCATAATGGATAACAAGTTGAAATTAAAATACATGGTTTGATATGCGATGCTCCAGCTAAGGCATTCGTTTTAAATGTAAAAAATCACAATATTTACAACAGTTGTTCTAAGTGTACTATTCGAGGGCAGTATATTCGTAATAGAATATGTTTCTCCATAGTACATAATAATTGCGCTATTTTAAGAACCGACGAAGACTTTATAAATAATAGGTATACAGATTATCAGATTGGGGAAACAATATTCCAAAACATACCTAATTTTAAACCTGTGACCGATGTACCTTTAGACTACATACACCTAGTGTGTTTAGAAGTAGTCAAAAAATTAATTTTACTTTGGAATATAGGACCGCATTCGGTTAAACTATCTCACCAAATGATAAAAATAATCTCGACACATTAGTTAACTTACGAAATACAGTGCCGTTTGAGTATCGTCCAAGACCAAGATCATTAAACGATTTTAGGCTCTGGAAAGCAACTGAATTTCAACAGTTGCTTCTTTATACCGGTCCTGTTGTGTTAAAAAAATGTTTTAAAAAAAGATATATTAGAGGTACAAATAAGTTTTAAACCGTTTTTTGTAGAACATAAAAAAGTAATTTAAAATTTAAATATTCTCCCGCTCTTTTCCGATTTTGTAGTGTTTATATGGTAACATAAAAAATAACAACCAACTTCACGATATTGTTTGTGTAACCTAAAATTGCAGCAGCTTAAAAATGGCAAACGAGAAACAATTTATTCGGCACTGCATTCGCTATGAATTCCATCAAGGAAAGAGCGCCGCAAAAGCGTGTGCATCAATTTGTTTGACTCTTGGAGACAATGTTGTATCCAAAAGTACGTGTAAATTTTGGTTCAGACGGTTTAAAGAAGGTGATTTCGACGTTAGCGATCGTGAACGTAGCGGAGCCCCTCTCAAGACTGAGGACGATGAATTGCAAGCATTACTCGATGACAATTCGTCCCAAACGCAAAAAGAGCTTGCATTACAACTGGGAGTAAAGCAACAAACTGTTTCCAACCGTTTACAGAAGATGGGAAAGATTCAGAAAGAGGGAAAGTGGGTAACACACGAATTGAGCCAGAAGAACAAAGATAACCGTGTCGAAATGTGTCTGAATCTGTACAACAAACAGCACAGAAAGTCTTTCCTGTGGAAAATCGTAACGGGTGATGAAAAGTGGATATATTACGATAATCCCAAGCGAAAAAAGTCATGGGTAGACCCCGGCCAACCATCCACATCAACGCCAAAGCGGAATATCCACGACCAAAAGATAATGCTCTGTATATGGTGGGATATGCAGGGTGTGCTATATTATGAGCTTCTGCAACCACGTGAAACGGTTGATGGTGATCGCTATAGTTGACAACTATTGACAGGGCTGGGCATATTTGAAATACTTGTATTTGAAATACAGTATTTGAAATACAATTGTATTTTGTATTTTGTATTTCAGCGAAACACATAAAAGTATTTTGTATTTTGTATTTCAAAAAGGTTATTTAGTGTATTTTATATTTCAAATACAATTTTAATCTATTTGTATTTGAAATACCAAAAAAGTCTTTGACAACAATAGTAGTAACTTATAGCGCGTTTCTTGAACGCAGTCAAAGAGTGCAAGAGAGTAAG